TTCTTTTGTTTATAAGATATATTATATAAGATATCTCAAAAAAGATATAAGATATCTTATAAACAAAATTAAATGCGATATCTTATATAATTCGGTTATAAGATATCTTATAAAAAAACGAGATTTGAATTTGAGATAATAAACCCTCCCCCACAGAGCTCGGAACCTATCGGTAACCGAGGGGGTCGAGAGGATTTGATCGAAAATGCCAGCCGATGACAATGGGACCAGTTATCAAATTGAAACTACATATGATTATGGCAAGCCAAGTTGTCATTTATTCATGGAGCAATGTTGATCCAGTACTTAACCAAATTATCGCCGACGAAAACGGATGTGACCTTACAACGGGAGCAGTCATTTTTAAACATTTCTTCTTTGTCGGTCTCGCGAGAGTCTCGTTCTTATAAGATATCTCATAAACTTTTCTTTATAAGATATCTTAAATATTAAATAGAATATCTTATATCTTTTATGCGATTTCTTATATAATATATAAGATATCTTATAAAGAAAATTAATTGAGATATCTTATAAAAGATATAAGATATTTTATATAATTTATAAGATATCTTATAAAGAAAAGTTTATGAGATATCATTTAAAGAACGAGACTCTCGAAATGTTTGAAAATGACTGCTCCCGTTGTAAGGTCAAATCCGTTTTAAAAATCTTAAAAATCTTATAAAGAAAAGTTTATGAGATATCTTATATCTTTTATATGATATCTTATATATATTATATAAAATATCTTATATCTTTTATAAGATATCTTATAAAAGATATAAGATATCTCATAAACTTTAAATAAGATATCTTAACTGTTTATAAGATATCTTATATGTTTATAAGATATCTTATATAATATATAAGATATCTTATATAATTTGTATCAACATATTGCTCCATGAATTAATGACAACTTGGCTTGCCATACTATACACACATGAACATGTCCAATGACGGGATATAGTATAACAGATACAAGTGTAATACTATACACACATGAACACGCCCAGTGACGGGATATAGTATAACAGATAGTACTATACACACATGAACACGCCCAGTGACGGGATATAGTATAACAGATACAAGTGTAATACTATACACACATGAACATGCCCAGTGACGGGATATAGTATAACAGATAGTACTATACAAACGTGAACACACCCAGTGACGGGATATAGTATAACAGATAGTACGGGATAAAGTTCAACATATAGTACTATACACACGTGAACACATCCAGTGACGGAGTATAGTATAACAGATAGTACTTTACACACGTGAACACGCCCAGTGACGGGATATAGTATAACAGATAGTACTATACACACGTGGACACACCCAGTGACGGGATATACAAATGTAGTATAACAGATAGTACTATACACACGTGAACACGGGGTTTAGTATTTTTTGTGAGTAAAATATGGTTATGGAAAGGCATTCTGTGTTGTGTTTAATCTATGATGACAAACAGTGTGTTTTATCCTGGGAAAGTGGTTAGGTTTAAATAGCTACTCGATCGATGTAAATATCAGATTATGTGTATGCCGTATTACGTCAAAGCCGTTGTACAAGACTAAGGATTATGTCGAAGTTACAAGGTAGAATACCAGATTACAAGTGATAAGAGACGTTTTATCACCAACTTATATCGCCTTACTTCCTTTTTATCAATAGACTGGCAATAAGTAACTTGGCGTGATTTTAACGACATTAAGAGGAAGTGAAAAAATGGCAACTATTGCGATAGCGGTTACACCTACAAATGCCGCACACATAAATATCGGTGATTTCTGGATCAATTTAAATAGAAGTCGAGATAAAAATCGTGTAAGACACGCTCACCATATACCATCGTTCCATGGTGTCCTTTTCAATCCCTTCACTAGTCACTTTGGCCATGAAAATGTGACTCTCGATAAATGAACGTGATTCATCTGTATCTAATTGACAATAAACATGAGTCAACCGTATCATCCATTATGACCATTGAAGGACTTGGCTAGGTATTTGCTATCTGTCCTGGTAGAATCTTCGATAAATACAGCCTCTTAGGAAATCAAAGACATGTCAGCCAAGAGAGGGGTATGGTTCGTTCGTCCTCATGAGTAAGCCAACGGCGTGAAAAATAATATTGCCACTGAACTCACCATTGATATTGTCTACATAGAATTCGATTATCCTCACGATTTATCCATAGCAACTTTCACATTTGCCTCTGTATTGTTTTCACGAAATATGCCCCAAAATATTTAGCCATCACGTATTTACGTCATTAACTACCGTATGAGTTTTATGGTTGAAAATCAATCCTATCTCCTTTCAGAACCAAGAAATATGAATGTATATGAAGACAAATGCAGAACAAACAACCATACACTTAGCACTTCGGGTCAAAACATAGAAATTGTGTTTGTTTTTATTTTAGAATTGCAGTTGGCGATTTAATCCACTTTAATCTGATCTAATCTAGCATGCTCTCGTTTGCCCAATGGCTTGAGTAGTCTTCCATGAAATCCGTTAGTTTCTTGAAATTAACATTCCAATTGGAAAAGTTTCCATTTCATTTCATGCAATAATGGTTTCTCAAGAGTTGTGATAAGGTCTGTAACCGTAGCATGGTATTCGGTTGGAGTATTGTTATGTCGAAGTCCTTGACTACGATCGTGTCTCCTTTGATGGGTAAACAAAGACATTATATCTGTATGACAACTTTCAGGACTTCTTCTGTCGGAATCTATACTTTCATTATAACCATTTGGCGCTATATGTACAGTGCCAAGCAGTCTTACGCAGTGTTCCTCTCATTGCCTGCGGTACTAGGTACACATGTAATGATTTCTGTTAAGGTTATAAGTTTCTGTGTAATTAGGGCAGTCTTAGACGGAATAGACAGGTCAGAGACTCAGAGGTTGAATTGGCGATATAAATATGGTTCACTGCCGAACGATGACAATACTGTCCTCAGCAGAGGCACTCGCCAAGTGATTAAAAACAAGAGCTACTGAAGTGAAAACAAAACCGGAATTCGAAATCAAAATTGATGAAATTGCAGAAAGTATGAGCAAAAGGAGGATTTAAACGAAATCCGGTCTTGTTCCGGAATGGTAAGCACCTTCTACTGCGATGATGATACCATATATGTAAATCTAGGTCAGATCCAAGCGATGTCGCGTTCTCCAATTGATACTGAGGTAGGGACAATGAAACCACTAGGAACAAAAATTAGCTTAATAAAAAACGTCGATATCCATATGGCACAGGGAAACCATTAAAGTCCCCAATATGATGGCGACCGTAAACATTGCCTTTATAGTCTACATCAATTGACGTCTCTCGGAATCCATTTTGCAATTAAAATTAAAACCTTTTCCTGACCAGCCTGTCCTCAAACATCAGAGCGTCCACTTATATTTATTGGTAAATTGATACTGAATAATTTATATGTCTGAAGCTTTCTCGTACAAATACATACTAAACTGATTGTTACCATGGCAGTTCGACTATTGAGATAATATAATTTATTAGATGAGAATCATCCCCTTTATATAGAACCACTGTTTATTTGTTAAACGGGTCATTATGTGTTGATATTATATATTAATTATTTTTGTAATGTACTATCGTTGATAGGTAAACGTGATGTCTGGCTTCATTGTATGTTAACTTTATCTACAGTGGTCACCGCTGACTAATGATACGCATACATATATGGGCGATCGTTAATATTCAGTACGTATTTAACTGACTTCTATAGTCGTATTATAGATTTGTTTCTCCCTTATTTATTAACTCTACACAGTAAACTTTAAAGTCAGATTTCAAATCTTATAATCCATATATTTAAAGACAGCTTACACATGACTAAAAATACGTTTATTTTTTTCCCTTGCTCCATAGGTATCGCTAATATTTATGATTAAGGAATTAAATTCTGGAATTTTTAAATCCTCTTGACTGGTCAACATTGCGTTAATTTGACAAGCTATTTTCATACATTCCAATTGAAATGCGCACAATGCTCAAAACACAAATAAATTATACAGCTAATTTACTGTTCTATTTTAGCTTAAGTGTTATTTCAGACTACAGTTTAATGGGTTTGTATATAAATTATCGTTAACATATCATAGCTATAGATAAAAGATAATAAAATGACGTGAATGTTCTGTGTATATTTGAGATTATGTACAGAATATGTCTTTCTCGACCAACTCTAGCATGCTACATATATCTAATACTTTATATAGATTCACTAATTTATATTGAATATTTCAATGAAGTGCAATCTTAACCACTTACATTATACTGTGTGTCTTGACTTGATAAATAGTGAAGTAAATAAATGTATATAAATATATATCGTTTATATTTAACCCGGGTATGTCACGGTACTTAATACACTACAGAAGTTGGTGCGCTGTCAATGACTATCAAATTAATATAGTAAAAAATAACTTATGTTATAAAAATGATTTAAAATAAGACAAATGATCAGTAGAGTATTACTTACCGTCTGTTTTGGATTATTCCATGTAAAATCTCTATGTAAACGACATATAATCACATGCTATGTGCTTGGGTTTAAGTTAGCCACTCTGCTACCTGTGCATGGCACCCGAGTGGCACACCGCCATGTTTGTTACCAATGAAGCGTATGGTCACTAAGGTCGTTTAAATAATCGTCTGAACACTATACCTTTATATCAAGCTAACTCAAATTAAACTTAAATTCGTGTTTATGTCCCCCATTGTACACATGCAAAGGGAACGAGGTTTCTTCAACATGTTTTATTCTCAGTTCAAGTATTCAATGGCAGAAACTGATTAGTTTCGTGAAATTGCTTTGCATTGAAAGGATATATATATATATCTTCATGGATCGATGAACACAATTAAAATCAAGAGTTTTTTCCCTTCCATTTAGATAGTTGGAAAAATCGCCAATAGGTGGCGTTCTAAAGCGTTTTAATGATTCCGATCTTTAACAGTTCGGAACAACCTCGGGTAGCGGAGAAAAGACTAGAAATTCCATATTTGTCATTTCGCACAGAGAAAACAACTTTATGTTTGTCTCTGAGACCAGCATCCTCCCTCCTACAGGGATGAGGGTGCGGGTATTGGACATGGAGGGTCAGGAATTCATAATTGACCTGAATCCAGACTCGAAAATTGACGATGTAAAAATAAGATCATTAGGTCATTTTCTGAACCCAGCCGACAGTATGAAAAGTTCTCTTTACCACAAGATTCTTCTGGTTCGTACAGGAAAAGTTCTTAGCGACGAAAAGACATTGTCACAAGAAGGAGTAACAGATAATGGTAGTATGAAATATTAGCATGAATGTCCATAAACTGTAGTGCAACTGTTTTCGTTTTGTAAACAAATTGACGGAGTAGACACGAGCATGATGTATCTTGACTTCAAAGTGACAAAGGTTGTTTTTGAAAACAAGGATACACTTTCGTTACGTTTCTCTTGTTAATCAGTTAATTGACAGCTTGCTAAGCATATTTTCATTTGAAGATATATTAGATCTTCATTTTATTAGGATTGGATTATTTCCATTTATCAGTTTATATCTCCAATTATTCAATGGTTTTTTAAACAATAAAAAATATGTCAGAAGATGTCCAGAGAGAGTGGCTGATATAATTTCCTAACCAATCAGAAACATTGGATGTACAGTACCATGCAACTTAATTCAAAATGTGTGGCTATTTTCACAGCAGCCTGATTTCCAAAAATAGGAAATGAATATTTGCAAGCTGCATGCGACCATGTAACAATTTGCATCCTCATCCTGCAAGGAGTGATAGCATCCTATGGTTGCTCCGACTTCAGGTTGTCATAACTTTGAAACGTGCTGTTTTGGAATCTTTGCTATCCTTATGTTTAGTTTTGGGACTGTTAGCCTCTGCACCTGTTAGCCAATTAATGCATTTATGGAACAAGGGTGAACAGGTAAAAGGGTGAATGGACTTATTTTTGGGACACACAAGACCTGGAACCAGCATATATCTTTGCCTCTTTAATTCCATCACTGAAACACACAGGGGTGTACATTTGATATTAAGAGTACTAACCCACTGGAAGATTTTGATAAATTTTTCTAGCCCTTCCAATATTTTCATGGTAAATTATCACTAGCCTAGAAACTAAATAAACTATCCCTGGGCATGAGCTTGAGGCTTAGCTAATACTTGTGGGATTGAACATCCCAAATTGACTATAGTATGCATCATATTAAACATGGGTTTGTTGTGGTTTCTGTAACAGTATGATATCATGGTGGATAAGTAGCAGCAGTTTTTATTTATTTCGATATTTATATGAATAAACCAACTCATTATTTGAATCCAGAAAAAGAACCCTCCAATCTGTTTTACAAGTTTACCAATAACTTAGGTCCATCTGTTCAGTGTTAACTTTATTCTTTTAACAAAATCTTCGCAATAACCAATTGGCCCAGGCTAATGATATTTGGCCAGAAGCATACTAGGATGAAGGGCTACAAAATGTCTTCAAATGAATGACTTTCGCCCATATTCAAGGTCACAGGTCAAATATGTTAAAATCTTTTTAAAGAAGTTCTGAATAACCAAAAGGTCTGTGGTAATGATTGGCTAGTAACATGCTGGCATGAAAGGCTATCAAGATTGTCAAGTGAATGATCTTCACCCATAGTTTAGGTCACAGGGGTCAAATATATCAAAACATTAAACAACTTCTCCTAAATAAAGCTTGGCTGGGACAATGATATTTAGCCAGTAGCATGCTGGAATGTAAGGTTTAAAAATTTCGTTCAAAATAAGGACCTTGAATCATATGCAAGGCCACAGGAGTCAAATATGTTAAAATCTGTAATCTACTTCTTCTGATTAACCATTATGCAAAGGGTGGTGATATGTGACCAGTAGCATGCTTAGATGAAGAGCTATATATATATATATATATATATCAAGTTTGTTCATTTGAATGACCTTGACACCTTCTATTTCACATCTGGTCAATTGTAAAAGTCATCAAGTTGCAAGTTATGGATGAAAGGCTATAAAGTGTTCAAAGTAATATGTCCTTGTTTGACTTCCAAGGTGACAGGCCAGGGGTCAGATGTGTTTAAATCTTTTGGCAGGTTCTTTTGAATGACTTTGAGTAAAGACACTGATATTTTTGCCAGTAGCTTTATTTTAGTCCACTTTTAAAGTAGCAAGTGTGAGATTAATACCTGGTGAGCGATGCAGGCCCATTGAGCCTCTTGTAATATTCTTGTCTGAATGTAATCACATGCTCAGGGCAATCTTTTAGAGTTGTATTCATTGTGGTCTATCATTATGTAAACTAGTATTTAAGTTGTAAACTTTGGTAAACTACTGCCGCTCATATGGTGTGTAAGTTATATCCTCCCGTTCATACTTGCATAAAAATTCGAAAAATCGAGATTCAACCCCTATGTAACATTAGGTTTAATATTGTAAAAAAAATGAGACTTATACTTATTCATATCTATATAATATACAGGTATATTTGAATCCTATTCAATTCGAAGTATTTATAGCAAATTATTTAAAATCATAATTTGTTTAACTTTGACGGTAAATTGTTTTTCTAATAATTGGATAATTAAACAGAACAATATTGAATTTCAATATTTCATTGCAGATGAGCTGATTATACTGAAGAAGAGACTAGTACCATCAAGATATGAAAGCAAAGATCCGGTATGAGTCGGTGATAGTGGCTTATCTTGAAATTTGATAATACACTGAAATTTTAATACGCTAAAATAAAAGTACTTTAACAATATATATATAATCAGTATATAATGCAATACAGATAAGTTGTCTTGCAATTTATCACAATACAGGTTAGCTGTGTGGCAATACATCACATTACATATTTTTCTGTACAAGTCCACCAGGCCATTATATGTATAACAGAAAGAATTATTAATTATCTTTATACAAATAAAAAACTGAGGTATTCATTACCAACTCTAGTGAATGTTTTTATTTTATTAGCTACAGAAAGATGAAGGTAAAAAGATCACCATGGATACTATTAAAGAGGTGACATGCCGTCTTCCAGTAGCGAAAGCACCAAAGGCTCCTGAAACTCCACCAAACTTGGACGTAAGTTATAAATTAAAGGCTACATTATTGTATGTTTGGATTGAGATCAATGTAATGCAATAAGTTCATTTGTCAGACAAGCTTCAATCATAGATTTGCTAAATGTTTGCAGCATCAGTTATTTGATGAAATATGTAGCTTACTAGATAACAGAAATGAATTAATATATTTGGTGTCAAATTATGTTTTATTTCAGTTTCAGACAGAACTAAGGAAGATCTTAGTCTCACTAATAGAGGCTTCCCAAAAGATTCTTTGTCTTAATCCAGAGGCATCAAAGATATTTAAACAAGCTGAAGGTACTAAAATGTATTGTTTCTCTAGCCTTTTCATTGGAAATCATTATTATAAGGCTTAACCAGATTTCAATTTCCTGTTATGCAGTTTTCTCCCATGCCATGAAAATTTAGAATTGATAATGCCATTGTTGTTTTTAGCTCACCTGGTCCGAAGGACCATAGTGAGCTTATGCCGTGGCGCAGCATCCGTCGTCAGTTTTTTCTTTAAAACCCTTTTCTTCCTAAACGCTAAAGAGGATTTCAACCAAATTTAGTCGTAAGCATCACTAGGGGAGGGCAATCATTTCTTAAATAAATGAGGTTGGTTTGACTCCTGGGGGCGAGGCCCTTAGCTAAATTTGCTTTACAACACATCTCCTCCTAAACAGTAGGGAGGATTTCAACCAAATTTAGTCTGAAGCATCAGTAGGAAAGGGCAATCATTTCTTAAATAAATGAGGTTGGTTCGACCCCTGAGGCCAGGGGGGCGGGGCCCTGAAGAGGAACTTAGCTAAATTTGCTTAAAAACACATCTCCTCCTAAACACCAGAGAGGAGTTCAACCAGATTTAGTCTGAAGCATCAGTAGAGATCGGCAATAATTTCTTAAATAAATGAAGTCGGTTCGACCCCTGAGGCCAGGGGGGCGGGGCCATGAACGGAACCTTAGCTAAATTTGTTTTAAAACGCATCTCCTCCTAAACGCCAGAGAGGATTTCAACCAAATTTAGTCTGAAGCATCACTAGGGGAGGGCAATCATTTCTTAAATAAATGAGGTTGGTTCAACCCCTGAGGTCAGGGGGGGGTGGGGGCAGGGCCCTGAAGGGGAACTTAGCTTAATTTGCTTTAAAGCGCATCTCCTCCTAAATGTCAGAGAAGATTTCAACCAAATTGCTCTGAAACTTCATTGGGGGAGGGCAATCATTTCCTAAATAAATGAGACTGGTTCGACCCCTAGGGCTAGGAAGACCGGGCCCCAAAGAGGAAAATTATCTAATATTAGCTTTAAGACGCTAATATCCCCTAATTGCCTGAGTGGATTGTACAAAATTTGGTCAAAAACATTATTGAGGAAGATAAAAACACTTCTTAATTGAATGAGGTTGATTTGACCCCTGCGGTCCTAAGAAATGGTACAGCTAGATTATCATATTCTATGGTGTAGTTTTCATAAATTGTTAAAAAATGGTTTCTAGGTTTATAAAAGCTTATAGTTGAATGAAAATTAAAGTATTGTCTAATTACACCCTGTAATATGACATATTACTTATTTCAAAATCTGTTAACATAGCAACTCAATGGAGGCCTCTGATTAGTTGAAAGTCAGATATTGTGGTCCCAGTTGGGTTAGAACATAGATCTTGTCTGGTTTTGAGGCAATTTCATATAAAGATGTACTAATGCATTCAGTTGTAATGACTAAAATATAAAACCAGGTGAGCGATACAGGTCCAATGGACCTCTTGCTAAAATATATTCAAGCAACAGGAAGTATATACATGTATAGAATTTTATTCTACAATTCATTGTAATTTTTTAACAGAGGAGAAAGAATTTGAATAGCATTATGATAAGAAAATATAAGAGCTGGATGCCTTTCTGTTAAAATAACCTTTTTAACATGCTATCCATGTAGTGAAGCAAAAAGGAAATGTTCAATTCTGTATAGATACAAACTGCCTTTTATCACTAAGGCAACATTAGTTCAATACATTTCATGTAATTATACAGATGTAGTAAATTGAATTTTCTTTTTCCGGAAAAAGTGATTTATCTGTTTTTCTCAGCCTTGGCTCTTAGGATATGATTATTTGTACATGTAGTTGTAAGTATCTGTTTGATGTATAGTTATTATTGTGATCACTGATAAATTCATCTAAAAAGTTGCATACAGATTCCTTTTAAGTTGTGTAATTTATATGACTTTGGTGGGAATTGGAGTCCACATATTTAGCAGGTCAGCAATGTAATAGACAGTGCCAGAGTTACGAATTCAACTCTATGCAGAATGTCATGTTTTAAATAGACTGTATGAATAACACTAAAGGAAATCAAATATGTATACAGTGTCAAGGTGTGCTGATCATTCAAAAAAACATTTGTTTTAGATTGATAACTTTAAATCAAAGTGTATAATTAATCTTACCATGGTTTTTATATTAAATTGTTTTCTTATTCTCTTGTGCTATTAAAGTTGACAGTGTAATATATTCTGCATTTCTTATTTAGATTAATATCTTATATATATATTACATGCTAATTGAAAGAGCCATTTTCAACCTCCACAGATATGTTGAAAGAATCAACAGAGCCTAAGATTGATCAGGTTTCATTGCGAAAACTCACGGAAATGGGATTTCCTGAAGGAAGAGCAAAGAAAGCTTTAGTGTTGAATAAGTGAGTTGGTAAACCTAAAGATACTTTGAAATGTTTATATAGTTTTATAAATGTGACATACTCCCAATCAACACTAATTCTTTTTCTAGAAGAATAGCAGATATGTACTGAGAAGGCAGATTAAGTATAAACCATACACAGTAATACCTGGTGGTGATTTTTGTTCTATTAAAAATAAATTAGATTGATTGACAAATTCTTGAATTGCTGTTCTGATTACTATTCAGTAAACATCTAATTAAACATTTGGTTTTTGATATTGCATTAATCTATTCAAATTTTTATCCACAAAGAACCATGTCCATCAGTTCAGGTTCAAAAACTCTATAGCCTGATGTTTTAAACTGATAATAAACACCCCTAGGATGTCATTATCTTAAACTGATATTTAAACACCCCCAGGATGTCATTATCTTACATTGATAACACACACACCTTTCAGGATGTCATTATCTTACATTGATAACACACACACCTCTCAGAATGTTATTATCTTACATTGATAATAAACACCCCCAGGATGTCATTATCTTACATTGATAACACACACACCTTTAGAGTGTCATTATCTTACATTGATAACACACACACCTTTCAGAATGTCATTATCTTACATTGATATATATAACACACACCTTTCAGAATGTCATTATCTTACATTGATATATATAACACACACCTTTCAGAATGTCATTATCTTACATTGATAACACACACACCTTTCAGGATGTCATTATCTTACATTGATATATAACACACACACACCTTTCAGAATGTCATTATCTTACATTGATAACACACACACCTTTCAGGATGTCATTATCTTACATTGATAACACACACACCTTTCAGAATGTCAGTGACAGAGTCCATGGAGTGGTTGATACAGCACGAGTCTGATCCTAATATTGATGAACCTGTCCCTGGCACTGAAGAGGTGCAGGAACCAGAGGACCAGGTTAGAGCACTTTTCCAGAGTTATCCTCCATCTTTCATAGTAGTTTTTATGTATAATGTTAAAAATTGTCTTTTATGTCAATGGAACAGAAATTGAAGAAACATCATACAAAGGCTTTAAAAAGGTCCCGAAATGGAGGCAAACTCAATCACCCCTTTTTTCAGCTAGTGTTGTGTCTGTTTTGACTTCTGTTGTTGATATTTTTGTGTAGACTGAAGGAGCTGTTGGAGGTGTGGAGGATAATGATGAGGGTCAGTCACCTCAGGTCACTAACATACTCAAGTCACTACGGGCATTCAGGAAAAGAGAGTTCAAAGCAAACCCAAGGGCTAGTATCATGGAACTATCATTTCTTTGTGATCAGCTGAAATTTATCTTCAAGTGTTGCAAATTTACAGCCGCTAGTAAAGATGTTAACAGGCTACAAATAATTACAAGTTTGCATTTATGTCAAGATGAAAATTATGGAATGGAGATGTGCATGCATACGTTTGACAACAATCAAATTCCTTGTTTAGTGTAGAGAGGGAGAATGAGTGGCTGGGTAACTGTCAGACAGTCCATTCATTATATATAATGGAACTGAGGGCCCAAAGTGGCTGATACTAATTAATTTAAGGAATAGACAGTTTCTAGGGCATTAACCCACGGAAAAAACACAAAAAAATTAAAATGTCATCAACACTAAAGTCTATTAATTTCTAGAAAGTAAAGGAATTGTTTTTATTAGTGTGCTTCATTATGACAATCACAAGTAATTGCAACATGATACTACTGATGAAACTAATTAAAACAAATCTTTATAAAACTGAATTTCTTGTGAAAATGTGAAATTATTCAAGCAATTTTTAATAAAAGTTTAAAATCGAATCAGGGGAAGTAACTACATTTATATAAGAGATTAAAAAGTTACAAAAAGTTATCTCCCATCCTTCAATCGTTAACACAAATCACTAAAAAATCACACATTAAAATGTTTGGAAAATAAATCTGGAATCCTTACCATGTCATTTAGCAGTGAATATTCTTATGAAATGAAGTTATAGGGTATACTGGAATCATGTTATTTTTTCTATCAATCGATGGAATCTTGTATGAATAACTCCTATTGTTCTTATTCCAATTTCACGAAATTTTAATACTGTAGTCACCACACTCTGAAGTTCTGTAGTTGTGCTTCCTTTTTTAACTCAGCTTCTTTAATGATGAAAAGTGTGCTCCATTTACAAAAGTATTGCCAAATCTGTTTAGGGGTTATAGCACCAAACAAGCTAAATATAGGTAGTAAATGTTGATCAATCTTAGCATTATTTCTGTAAAATTGTTTCATAACTAATAAAATATGTGTATCTGTGAATAGATGTATATCTCGTTACAGGCCCTCCAGAACCTAGTAGAGATGGGATTCCCAGAGAAGGATGCCATTGATGCTCTGAGAGTGGGCAGAAACGACCAGGACGCCGCCGTAAGTGGTCCAGGAACATGTAAACTATAATGTCCTAGACCTATTAACTTAACAATGGTTTCACACAAACATTATAGCAGTTTATTTCATGAAATGTTATTGAAAAAATGAAGTACATTATTTTAACTATAATCTTATAAATTCAGAGACAAAAAAATCAAAGGAATAAGCTTAATTTCATGAATGTATTTTAGTTTTGTTAAATATAAATACTTTACACATGCAGATAAATTTTAAACTACAACATATTTTAATTCAAAATAAAATGACAGTTTGTTTATACTTAACAATGATTGTGATGAATTTTCAGTGTGACTGGTTGCTAGGCGACAGGAAAACAAAGCCTGAAGAAATGGAGGAAGGAATTGATACCAATAGCTCCATCTACAAAGCCATCATGGCCAATCCAACGGTACAACTAGGACTCAACAACCCCCGTTGTCTACTAGGTCAGAGGCTACAACTGTTCTGTTGAATAACTTATTAAATTATCATGTGAATGAGGAAGTAGGAACTACTTTTCTTAGCTCACCTGGTCCGAAAGACCATGGTGAGCTTATGCCATACCACAGCGTCCGTCCGTCATCCGTCCGTCAACTTTTCCTTTAAAACACTACTATTCATGAACGCCTGAGCAGATTTTGACCAAATTTGGTCAATAGCATCCTTGGGAGAAGGGGAACAAATATTGTTCAACTGGTGAGTCTGGCCCTCCTGGGGGCTGGGGGACGGGGCCCAATAGGGGAAATATAGCAAATTCTTTAAAATCCTTCTTCTTCTGTAGGAATAAAAGGATTTGTTCCAAATTTAGTCTGAAGCATCCTTGGGAGAAGGGGAACCAATTTTGTATAAACCATGGGTGTGGCCCCCCAGGGGCCTGAGGGGCGGGGCCCGATAGGGGAAACATAGCAAATTCTTTAAAATCCTTCTTCTTCTGTAGGAATAAAAGGATTTAATCCATATTTGGTGTGGCGCATCATCTTTGGGTAAAGGGGAACCAATTTTGTATAAACGGTGGGTCTGGCCCCCCTGGGGGCTAAGGGGCAGGGCCCAATAGGGGAAATATAGCAAATTCTTTAAAATCCTTCTTCTTCTGTAGGAATAAAAGGATTTGTTCCATATTTGTTCTGAAGCATTCTTGGGTCAAGGGGACTCAATTTTGTATAATTGGTGGGTATGACCCCCGGTTGCATAGGGGTGGGGCTCTGTTTGAAGTTTGTTCTCGCTATATCTCAAGTACTGGATGGATCTTTCTGAAATTTCATACAGCACCTACTTCATACCAATTATTTTAAACATATTCAGGTGAGCGATACAGGCCCTCTGGGCTTCTTGTATTGAATATATTTCTATTAAAACATCATGCAATAAATATTCTTTCAGGTGTGAACTCAAAACAGTGAACAGGTCTTAAATTAATTGAAAATATGTGGATTGACAGAAGACTTTTCACTGTGCCTTGTTAATATTGTATAGACAAATTGTGTACCATTGGTGTACTTCAGTTTTGCATGTTTATTTATCAGATGTTCTTAAGGCATAATTTAGATAAAGTCACATTATACCTGTTTATTCAATTATCAGATTTAGAGATAAAATCATACCATACAGTATGTATCTGTATGTATAATCATCTCCTTGTTTGTTTTCCAGCATTTTTACAGATGTTGGAGAGTCCTTTTATGACACAGCAGTGGCTGAATGATCCAGAGACTGGGCCTCTATTAGTACAAATATCTCGTATTTATCACTCGGAGAAACACTCAGGTACACAATCAGACTCGGCCACCAAAACCACGGAAACTATGACATTGTCCTCATCTATTTCATCATCAGGATCATCTGACTCCTCTTTTGCCAGCACGTCAACGCAAATCCTTTCATCTCAGCATAATAGAACATCCCAAGAGTCCCTCTCCATTGCCAACAGCCAAATGTCAAGGTCGGAGAGTGATCCTATTGGAACAAGGTCACGGTTACCAGACAATGACACTGTCGATTCAAGGTCAAGGTTACCTGAAGATGCTTCATCTGTTTCTTTAGGAAATTCCCCCATGGAGGGAGGTAGTGAAAATGATCTAAGACCATCAGTTGCTAGGCAACAACGTGATGCAGGGTCATCTCCAGTTACAATGTCAAGGTCTTCATCGTCAGGAAAGGTAAAAGGTGACAATAAGCCTAAAGGAAGGTGACATCCTGACTTTGATGCAAATTAATGACATTTTAGTATTTATGATTTATATAAGATTCACAGCACTATTATTATTTTTCATTACCTAAAACAATTTCCATTCTTTAACCTGATTCTTACTAAAAATAAGACAATGTTAATCTAATTCAAAATGCCATACTTCCTTAGTCTGTCTTAATGATTCCATTATACTTAGGACTGTGTTAGTACACTGTAGTATCAAATGTCAAAAGACATTTTAAAAATGAATTTGAAGAGCTTGAATTCAGTATGAAACATATCCTCTGAAAATGATTATATATTTTTCATGTAATTGAAAATAATCAACCTTGTGACATAATGCAGACTATTGTTACAAAATGTCAAGCTTGTATTCATAAAGCTATATCCCAATTATCAGGCAGACATTTTTTGAAGTTAAAAACACAGCATAATTTCTTGACAGGGTACATTTTTTTGTCTGTAAAAAAACTTCATATCGGTATGTAAGAAATTAACTTTTAAATACATAGTGTTCTATGTGGTATAAATGCTGGTACACACGTAGTGTTATGTGTTGGTATAAAAGCTGGTAAACATGTAGTGTTGTGTGTATGATAAAAGCGGGCTTATATGTAGTGTAATGTGTTGCATAAATGCTGGTATACATGTAGTTGTATGTGGTATAAATGCTGGTATACATGTAGTGTTATAAGTGGTATAAATGCTGGTATACATGTAGTGTTATAAGTGGTATACAATGCTGATATACATGTAGTTATATGTGGTATAAATGCTGGTATACATGTAGTGTTATAAGTGGTATAAATGCTGGTATACATGTAGTGTTATAAGTGGTATACAATGCTGATATACATGTAGTTATATGTGGTATAAATGCTGGTATACATGAAGTGTTGTTTGTAGTATAAATGCTGGTATACATGTAGTTATATGTGGTATAAATGCTGGTATACATGAAGTTATATGTGTAGCGTACATTCTATAGTAAATTAAGTGTTGGATAAGTGCAGTTATGCTTGAAATGAATTCAGTTGTTTCTGAGTGCTAACACTGTTTGATAATAGTTTAAATAATGAACAGTGAATTTGAATGATTGAACAATTGACGTTATATAAATTAAAGTGAACATTATTTTATACTCAAAACTTTTATTTAAAGTTAAGATTGATTTGTCCAGAGCTATTCCAGTTAAAACAATCCCCAATTACAGAAGGCAAAATATGATAAATTCTATAATCGATTATTGTTTGAAAACAAGATTATATTATAGGCAATAAGAATTGAATTAAGATATAATGTTAAGAAAATTGATTTTCTTGGGGTGGTGAGGGAGAGGTAGAGGGACAGAAGGCACATTTTTGTATACATTATAAGTGCCTCCCTTGCAGCCCCCTCCCCTTTATAATTGTATCAGGAATAGCCCTTATGGAGGATATTATTGATGTGTTTTGTATTGTTTCAATACATACTCCTACATCTTATGTGTTCAAGTACATAATAATGATATATATACTGGTAGGTTGTCAGAAAAGAATGATAAAGTGCTATAATTACTAAAATATGTCTGAATGTGAGGCTGTGTTTCTGTGTTAGGTTTGTTTGAAAAAGTCGTTAAAAAGAGACAGTAAATCTATACAATCTTCATGTTTTGTGTATGGTACAACTTTAAACATTCATCTAATTTACATGTTACTGAAATAGTATTAACAAACTGCCTAGTTCCATCTGTAATGTTTACGCCGATACCAACCATGTTAAACCCAGTAGTTAAACTCCTAATGTTGATCCTGTAACTAAAAGTTGGCACCAATATATTAGTATATTAAATATGTCATTTTAAGGTTAATATATACATGTGCATTTGTAATATGATGAAAATATTAAAATATACATTTAATACCCTTTCGCTCACCTTGCTTGAAAACTTGCCTTTTTATGTCATTTGTCAATTATTTCACATACTTCTAATCAATTTTTTTCAGAAACATGTCACAATTATGGTCAGGATTTTCTTTTTTTTCAATTTATTTGACAAAGCTGTGACAAAGCCTTCAAAGTTTTGTTAATGGGATAATGTTTTTGAAATCTTAATTCTAGAGAGAACAAAGTTGCTGGACTTTGATCAAAGTAAAACATACATTAGAATAGATGTCTTTACCCTAAAGCTGACCTAAGTCTCATTTGTATTGTCATAAAGGAAAAACAACAATAAACATAGCTTCACTTGGTGGTACATCATTGTCGAACCCTTATGTTATGACCAATTATGGTAATTTTACCTATGTTAGCAAAACTTACACTTGCAAGATACATCTGTCTTTTGTAGATCCTAAATGTTAGATTATAAGAGTCCAGAATATACATTTATAGGGTCGTGGAAATTCTTCCTTAGCGTGTAGATTTTGGGTAAAAATGGAGGCTTTTGGTAGTTCTGTCGCCAGATTACATACACAAGGGCTGTTAAATTACTTTAAACTACACCACTGGTATACCATACTTTTACCGCTCTTTACAAAGTTGTTCTTAGCTGATTTGCACGTTGTCTAGAAAACCTTTTTTTACATTAGCAATGTCATTGTCAATTTTTGGCAAATACCCAAGTAAGTGTAGAGAGAAACTGTATGTATGGTACCTACAGTGGTACCTACAGTTTCTCTCTACACTTACTTGGGTATTTGCCAAAAATTGACAATGACATTGCTAATGTAAAAAAAGGTTTTCTAGACAAGTACAAATCAGGTAAGAACAACTTTGTAAAGAGCCGGAAAAGTATGGCATACCAGTGGTGTAGTTTAAAGTAATTTAACAGCATGTAACTTAAATGATTGTTAACTTCCGTGAATTGATGCTGGTTGCCAACTTTGTTTTGGGTGTAGATTTTCTTCCAACGTATATACCAATTACATTATGCCAGTACTGTAACCTTTCTTTTTGGAACAACAGCGAATATGGCACTGAACATTTTGAACTCAAACTAACTGTTTTGATTCACTTCCTAGTCAGGTTTGCAAATATTCAACCTTTGTGGAATTCATAAGACTTATAACGGCTTCACTTATGTATGTGACATAGAAATGTCAACTCGAGAGTATTCTTTTCAGGTTTAGCAAGAGATACTGACGGTGTGCTAAACCTAAAAAATCCTATCCCAATGGATGAGATTTCTTGACTACATCACGCTGAAGTGATTATTTTTCACCCACATTTCCTGTCATAAAAATACTCCCGACATTTAATGCGAGCTTTATGCACCGCGTCACCCTTATTGACGCTTGAAATTTTGTATAAAATTGATGAGGTGGTTTTGCGATATGGTTAAGCTTAAGCTGCATGACGCAATCTTATTGTGAATTGGTGAGGTTTTACATGAATGTAGGCGTTGGTGAGCAGCCTTTCCCTAGGTAGATGAAAACACATTTATCTTTCCCTAGAAATAACGGGAAAGTATCCGTGATGTGTGGGAGAATGAGTTTTCTCTAATCCTGGACAAGATGTAGCCATACTTTTTCCACAATGTTGCACATTTTATTTATGCTTCGGGATATCCCCTGCATAATTACTATAACGAGAAACCATCTATTACATAAGAGGAATTGAGCAAAGTGTGGTAATGAATATTGAGAGTGTAATCACAGGTGAGTTTTTGACACCCACATAACACAACTATTTGTTAACGTATTAGATAGGTGTAATGTAATCACAGGTAAAACGATGGTCAATGTAATGTAAGTACTGCTGCTCCAGGCCAATTGACGTCCTGTGTAATAAAACTGCTCTTTTACTTCTATGCAGTACTGTCATTTTTTCACTGGTCAAACGCAAGTCTATGTAATATAGCCCTCCCAATACTGATCAAGTATTGTATACTGTTATGTTATCTCGGGCAAAATGACGTTTCATAAAACGCAGCTCTTCTTTTACTGATTACATAATCGTAATACAATCACAGGTCAAATGTCGGCCCGTGTACCCGGTACCTGCCTTTACCAAAGGAAAAGAGTACAGAAACTGTATACTTTACTAATTGAGAACTGCACGTTTCACTGATGGAGTGCTCTATAATTTACTGGTAGAGCATATCCTACACAATGTACTTTAAACTCAGTGTTATGTTTAGTAACAATGAGAATTTACGGTTTTACCACTGCTGCTGATTTTTCATGTACTCCGATAATATTACGAACCTACAATGCAACAATTTTAAAATCGTAAATTATTACTTATTGACATTTTTTTTGTTTTCCATGTTAATTAGCACTGACGTTATGGGGTCCGTTATTGCGTGGTAAACAAGTCCGGTTTAGAGTGGATAATAGTGGGTTGGTACATGTATATGTAATTAACACACTGTTAATACAAAATGAACGATACACGATATTAAAATCATTTTAACTTGATGTTTGTCTTCCCCTCCCCAGTAGAGTATGTGATGATACCTCCTCACCTCTGTGTACAGTGCCACTTCCTCGTACGATTTGTACGACAAGTAGTACCACTACGCTGTGTTCCGTAGCCATACTAGTAATATATAGATAAAATCTGAGATTGAAGTTGTCCCCAAGATGATAGCGATCGGACGATTATCCACTCTTCAGTTAATACCGAGTGATACATTATAATTATATTGATGTTATCAATAATAAAAATAAAAAAAAACACATTTTAAGAAAAACAATGTAATTTTAGATTTATCAACAAATATGTTATCGAATAAATGTGTGTAATTGTTAAATGAATTAGTAATACATATATTTTTTGAGTTAATGTGTATGTGATTCCGTTGAAGTTTTATTTAGGTTAACTAACAATCTGTATTAAATGTGTTATTATAAATAAGTAAGTTCATCAGACTCCTTTGTCCATTTTCAAAAAAGACTTGAATACGGAAGAGATTAAAAAAAAATAACTTCCCGGGAACATTTTCTTGAAAGATCTGCAAAATTTCCTAGCAGATTAATTTTCATTCATGATGGAAAAAGAGTTATTTTAAAACTTGAAAGTGATGCTGTTTTGAATTTTAGCGCACAATCAAGCTATATATTTTGAGATGTTAGTAACTTTTGTATAGGCTTGTAAGGTTTGCACTACTGTCCAAGTGATGTTATGAATGATCTTCTCCATAATACTGTTCAACTGTTCCTTCTATCTGGTTATGCTATTATAACACCGTGTTATTTATTTGTTTAGATTTTATTCATAATGTTTTGACGTAAATATTTCATAAAGGTACATATTGAATACGAAATGTGCGTATGAGCAAAAATAGAAGTTGTCCTCCGCAATTTAGAGTGATACAGTATAACACATTTACAAAGAACACAAACGAGAGTCTAGGACCGGCTCTTGACTCGGCACACATCCTCTAATTTGAGATATTTGTGTTTTCTTTTTCGTCCACCATTTTGATCTTCAAAAGCTAGTCCTCCACCCTGTTTTAGATGTTTTTGCTGTCATTGAAAACACTTTCCCGTTAAAAATCCTGGATGCGCGCCATAAACATATATACCTGTACATAATAAACTGTATTTACAATGTAGTACAGCATATCAGCTCCCTTTTAACGTTTTCATTCAAGGGTATTTTCTACTTTACGAGCCTCTAAAGAGAACATTTTTTGTTGCATATATGGTCGAGTTATATGAAATGATTTTTTTTTTATCAAAATGAAATGAAACTGCTACCTTTTGTCTTTGCTGTGATTGTTTTGTGG